CAATTTTAATCATTCTTTTTTTGCAAACATTATAACAATTATCTTTTAGATTTATTTTGTAAATCAAATTTAAGCAATAGTAAACTTATATCATTACAAAACTTCAAACTTATTATTTCGTTAAAAATTAAGGCCTGATATTCATCATCTCGAACCATATCTCAATTTTTTTTATTAATCTCTTTTGCTTTTTTATATACAATTATATTATTAAAGAAACAATAATTAATCTTATTTTCGGTAGCTTTTGCATATTATTTACTCTCGGAACTCCATTGATAAAGCTAAGAAGTTTCGATAATGTTGATCAACAACATGGGTTTCTCACAAAACTATTTTTTATGTGAGAAACCCATGATATTTTTATTCAAATTCTTAAAATATGAATACAACAATTTAACTGAAGCATCACGAAAGACAATGATAACAAATGTTATTATGATTGTAATGTTAATGATTAATGGCAATGGCTTAAGAATTGTACTCTGATGTAGAATATGTTTACGAAATGCCCTTCAGAAAAAAAGATGTGCGATATATTTCAAAAACTAACTCAATGAATATAAAAGTACAGTATATACAGTACTTGGAGATAATATAAAAAGATTTTCTGCCAAAAGTAAACTTTTTTAGAAGATTAAATATTATATAGAGTAATTATAATATATAATAAATGTTCTTAAATTGCATATACTTATGTTATAATCATTAATGTTCTTCATTTAAAATACGTATTTTCTTATGTGTCCTGAATTTTAAAGTTTCGACAAGATCATACTAAAATTAATGTTTGTAACTGCTTTAAAAAATTAATCAAATGAATTTTATGCAATAAATACATTACATATTTATATAGTGTATTACTATTGATGTATTTAAATATTATGCTAGGTTTAAATTTTAGATTTAATCTTTTCACACAAAAATTTTAGATATTATGAACAAAATATTCGGGTTTTCTGCATGTTTTAATTAGAACAAAGTTTAATGAATAAAATAAAAATAACTGCAAGAAAAACATTAGTGTTTTCATTTTTGTTATTAGTATAATAAAACTCTGAAATAGCTGAAAATAAAATTCTGGTTAGCTTTCAATTTGCAATATATAGGCCTATCGAAAATAGAAAAAACTCATCATGAGATTTTTCAATTTAATCTAATAGCTTTTTTTGTATAAAAACAATGAGGACAATTCTTTTTAAATAAATTGTATGAATGAAAGAAGAATGACAGATTTAATAAATGTAATATAAATCGTTTCACAAAAGGATTCAACAAATAGTTTTCACAATCTGTAAGAGTGATTACTATAATCAATAATAATCAAAATATTAATGTTGAACATTAATTTAAATATTGAGCCATATTTCTTAAACAGCTAAAATTTTTATTGTAAAATCAGGTATATAGTTACTTTCATTATTTTAATCAAAAAACTAATTTTAGTGTTTTGAACTCTATGGATAGTTTACATGTTTTGGCTTTCAAGTCTTAATTGATTGTACATCTTCATGTATACCTCTCTACTTAATTCTTTTAATGTAGTTTTTCATGTATTCTTTTTGTAACATTTATGTGATTACCAATCCAGATCTTTGTACTTACGTATGTAAAGATTTTTTTTATATTGTTGTAAAGAAGCTTCTTATTGTTAATTAATATTCCCTTTTGTGTTTAAATGAATAAAAGTTACTTTAGAATAATATAAAATAATTAGATAAACTTTTAGTGTATGAATTTTTAAATTTTTTCTGTATTTNAGATACGTATGCGGCATTTAATATTAGCGTTATTACTCAAAGTTTTTAATTAAATCTATATAATTTTTAATTTGACTGAAATTTTCCACTTTGGTGTAATCTAGAACCAAAATAGTTTGTCTAAATTCTCGTAGTCTTACAAAATCTGGTAGAAACCAGATTTGTTGTAAAAATCCAAATTTTAATTTTATTCTAAAATTCAATCATTTACTTTATTCTAATTTTATAATGCCTACGTTTCTTCGATTTTAAACTTATTATTTTACACTCAAATTGAGGAACTACATCATCCAGATGCAATTAAATATCACTTGATCATTTATATCTCCAATTTATATTCATTTTTCATGATCATTGATTATATCCTTTACAGAATTTATTTTATATTTCCTTACCATTTAACTATTAAATTACATTTATATTCCTTAACTGTTTAATGTGATTTCTACTACATTCTGTCTTAACAAAATTTTGTTTTTGAACTTCGAAAATGTGATGATAAATTCTTACGTAAAATAACTTACAAAAGTTCGAAGAATTTCATTTTATTTTGAGTATATTCGAAATTAATGTTTTAATTCTAAAATAATTGCTAATTTACAGTAAATACAAGTTATAAATTTAATATTGTTTGAATATAATCTTTACATAACTGAAATCGATGTATTGTAAAAACTATAGCCTAGGTTATATCAATGAATAAGAACTAAATAAAGACTACAACAAGCAATTATTTATTGTGGCATCGTCACAATGCTGTACAGCAATTTTTAATCATATTTTTAATTTATTTAATTTGAAATATATGCTCTCCACCTCAAATTAGTACTGTAGTGTCTTACCCCTGTACATCATACTTTTCCTTTAGCAATCGAGTCGTGTCGGTCATCTATCTACCTCCTTTCAGGAGAAATTTTTGAATTGAAGTAACATGATTTCCGGTGCAAATTGGAAGTTCGTATGTACTTAATCGGGGCCTCCTACCCCTAAGGTTTCCATATCTGGTCTCGTCTTACATCTATCTAAGGCTGACCGACGAGGGACGGAACCGAATATATTCAGGATGGACCACCCTCGAAAAATTCTCGGGGTCATTCGACCAGTCTGGATTCATTCCCGTGTCTTCCATAGCGATGAGCTGACACTTCAACTGCTAGCCATATGGAAAATTCAATATTACAAATATAAAAATTTGCTTTTTTTTAAATACATGTCAAATGAAAAGAAATTAATGCTTAGCTTTTAACAAAAATGAATATAAAGACAAGAAAAATTGCTCAATTTAATATAAAAGTTGCGTTAATAATAATATAATGTATTGACATCAGCTCTATAAACGTGAATAAATAAGAACTTCGATAGATATTCCTTTCACTTACAAGAAATCTAATAATAATAAAGATTTTAAAAATCAAGTAAACACTAATAATTTATTTAATGTCTTACTTTCAGCTTCGAAAAAACCAAAAACAAAAAAAAAACTACACTAATGTTAACAAAATTCCAAAATTAAACTGATCTGAGAAAAATATTATTCATGAAACATTTCTTTAACATTAAATTAAGTGAAAATAAAATTTTTAGAACTGTTATAAAAAAGTAAAATTTAAGATTTATACATTTTGTACAGTACCATTTTTAAATAAAAAGCTTTGAAGTTTATAAATTAAATCGGATTACACCAAAAATTTCGCTATATTTACAGGTTAAGTTCAACTTTGAGTTTTCGAAATTAAAGTTTGAAAATTAGCATTAAAAAATTACAATTCTGATCACTGTTGACTTATTTAAATTTCTCGAATATAAGAAGTTTTTTTATGACGCCAATTTTAATCATTCTTTTTTTGCAAACATTATAACAATTATCTTTTAGATTTATTTTGTAAATCAAATTTAAGCAATAGTAAACTTATATCATTACAAAACTTCAAACTTATTATTTCGTTAAAAATTAAGGCCTGATATTCATCATCTCGAACCATATCTCAATTTTTTTTATTAATCTCTTTTGCTTTTTTATATACAATTATATTATTAAAGAAACAATAATTAATCTTATTTTCGGTAGCTTTTGCATATTATTTACTCTCGGAACTCCATTCATAAAGCTAAGAAGTTTCGATAATGTTGATCAACAACATGGGTTTCTCACAAAACTATTTTTTATGTGAGAAACCCATGATATTTTTATTCAAATTCTTAAAATATGAATACAACAATTTAACTGAAGCATCACGAAAGACAATGATAACAAATGTTATTATGATTGTAATGTTAATGATTAATGGCAATGGCTTAAGAATTGTACTCTGATGTAGAATATCTTTACGAAATGCCCTTCAAAAAAAAGATGTGCGATATATTTCAAAAACTAACTCAATGAATATAAAAGTACAGTATATACAGTACTTGGAGATAATATAAAAAGATTTTCTGCCAAAAGTAAACTTTTTTAGAAGATTAAATATTATATAGAGTAATTATAATATATAATAAATGTTCTTAAATTGCATATACTTATGTTATAATCATTAATGTTCTTCATTTAAAATACGTATTTTCTTATGTGTCCTGAATTTTAAAGTTTCGACAAGATCATACTAAAATTAATGTTTGTAACTGCTTTAAAAAATTAATCAAATGAATTTTATGCAATAAATACATTACATATTTATATAGTGTATTACTATTGATGTATTTAAATATTATGCTAGGTTTAAATTTTAGATTTAATCTTTTCACACAAAAATTTTAGATATTATGAACAAAATATTCGGGTTTTCTGCATGTTTTAATTAGAACAAAGTTTAATGAATAAAATAAAAATAACTGCAAGAAAAACATTAGTGTTTTCATTTTTGTTATTAGTATAATAAAACTCTGAAATAGCTGAAAATAAAATTCTGGTTAGCTTTCAATTTGCAATATATAGGCCTATCGAAAATAGAAAAAACTCATCACGAGATTTTTCAATTTAATCTAATAGCTTTTTTTGTATAAAAACAATGAGGACAATTTGCATTTTATTATTATTACTAAAATAAATTTCTGATTTTGAAACAGTAATCAATAAGTTCGCTTTACCCGTTTTAATATGAATTTGTAAAACTGGTTTCGAAATTATCTTTAAAAAATAGCTTTAAATAATGACAAAGACTGATAATTACGCTATATTCGTAAAATTATTTCTGTTAAAAAATATTTTAAGTTTATAATCAGTAATTAAAATCAAAATTGTGAGTGAATATAATTTTATTAAATATATCATACTGAATATATTGTACGTCATGAAGCACGACATCTATCAGTGAAACACCATAAATAAATACAAACATTTGTATAAAATACACAAAGAATAAGGATACACGAGTTACACTGGATACACAAAAAAAAAATGCATCATCTTGAATGTTTTCTGTACAGTAGCAATAATGAATGATATAAATTTTGCATAATGAAATTTTATGGTCTAATTGATGCTAATGCTAAACACCTACATACATACACATATATACTGTATATATGTGTGTATTTAGTATTAGATATATATGTAGTTGAAAATTTTAATTATAAATGTATATATTCTCATAAATAAGAATAAAATGCTAAGCATTAGCATCAATTAGTGAAAGTAAAATCAAAATTTACATACCTTTCTTTATTGATTTTTAATTTCACATCAATACAATTTCGATGCTTATGCTTAATTTACTTTTAACCAATTCTTAATTTAAAATAAATTTATATATTTTATTTATATCTATATTCCATTTAAAATAGATATAAATAGAATAAATACCGATAGCATAAATATTACAAATTGAGCAATTAACGGCTTTAAACATGCCTATGAATGTGTTTGGTTTAAAAAAAATGGCCAAACGATAAATATTGTACTGTTCCATACATATAAGGTGTAATCTAATATTTTTAAAATGCAAAAGAAGGCATTTTCATAAAATGTATAAATATTTCTTAAGAAATCCAACAGCAGTATTTATATAAATACAAAACCGAAATCCTCTCAAATAGATAATGCATTTGAGAGACTTTCTTTGCAGATTCAGAGAAAAGGCAAATATACAAGTTTATATATATATTGGATTATTAGCGATTATTTAAAAATATTTCTAGATCTTCTGTATCTTCTTATCCAATTTCTGATATGTTAACAGAAACTTTTAGAAAAGCTGGGTTTTATATATATATATCTTTTTTTAATATATAATTTCTGTTGTACAAAAAATCAGGGGATTAAGACGATGCCATTTGAAGTGGTCTAATTTTTAACAAAATGGTTAAGGAAATCAATAGGTAGTGGGAATATAATTGTCGAATTTTTCTCTGCTGATATTGTATTTAGAGTCTGCAAATAACGTAATTGTAAGGCAGCAGGAGATTGTGTGATAACTTCAGCCGCTTCTTTCAAAGCCCTGGCTGATTTTTGTTCTCCTTCAGCAGCAATTACCTGAACAAAAAGAAATCGATATTATATCTGTTAAACGGAAAATTGCATACAAAAATAGCGTGTTAAACGTTATATTAAAATCAACCTTGGCTCTGGCTTCTCGTGCAGCTTCTGCTTCGGCTGCCATTGCGCGTTGCAGCTGGACAGGCAATCTTACATCCTTACTACAAGAAAAAAAAGGGTGTATAATGTTCTACTTATTACAGTTAGAAATAAATTCTAAAATTGTATATTCACATTTCTACACGTTCGACTTTTATTCCCCAAACGTCGGTACATTCGTCTAATACGCTCTGGAAATGACAATCGATAATTGTAGCCATAATAAATAAACGATATGTTACGTAAACATATTCCTCACCTGCATCGAAGTTGCAATTGTTTCTCTGTCTGAAAGAATTTCATGCAGATTTTTCGTGCCTAACATATTTCTTAATGTTGTTTGTGCTAGCAATCGAGTGCTGTGATGAGCATTTTCCACATTAGCCACAGATATGACCGCATTTTGCACATGATAGTAAACCACTGCATCTACAGAAACTGTCACCGAATCTTTCGTTAGAACCTATAATAATATCGAAATGATAGTCTTATTTATATGCTTAGAAATAGAAACAGAGTATGTTCCAATCGATATGGCTTTACCTCTTGTGGTGGCACGTCAAAGGTTAAAGTTCGCAGATCAACCTTTGTGTAGTTTTCTATACAGGGTAATATGAAAAATATGCCTGGTCCTTTTGATCCTCCGTGTAGAAGTCGTCCCAGTCGAAAGATAACAGCTCTTTCGTATTCTTGCACAACCTGAAAGTAAGAATTTATAAGACTTAGTTTAAGATGTTAGTTTTATTTTAGTGAATTTGCCTAAAGCTTGCTTACTTTTATACAGAAGAAAAGCGAAAATGGGAATGTTACGATAACAATAGCAGTGGACAAAACAGTCAGAATCCATCCACAGAATCCTAGACCGTTATCTTTACTATCGGCTAAAAATGGATTAAAAAAATAATTAATCTGACTTCAACCAAGTAAAAATAATAGTATCGCTTTAAAATAATATAACTGCTGAAAACTTGGAGATAAAAGTTAAAAATTTCTTTCGGTCGATGAACTCTACAGATTGTGCTAAATATAACTTAAAATTATATCCACCCTTGTTCGTCAGTGAGCTTCGATTTTCTCGGGCAAATCCATTCTAAAAATATTCTTAAATGTTTCATTCTAATCAATAACATATATATTACAATTGAAACAATTCTTAATTATATAACGTTACGAACTGTTTTCTTTTCAGTATTTGTAAAGTATGAATATTTCATAACAGTGAAAAAAAACTATAATCGATATTAATGAAAAGTCAAATTAATACGATAGGAATTCTGCGAAAAAACGTTATACAGATTAAGTAGAATTATCGCAAGAGCAACGACATTATAATTTCTATAGAAACAATATACTTTTAAACGTTTTTCTACAGATTAAATGATGTTCTTTGTATAGAATTGCAATTTATTCTAAAACTACTCAATTTCTGCATAGAAAATTGATGTTAAGCTCTATAATGGAGCAATGTTTTGATTAAAACAAATTCATTATTATTTAGTTTCTAAATAATACTTATACCTAGGCAAAAATATAAAACGAGGAAGCATAAATGACAAATATTTTGATGAAAAATTGTTGCTTGCATAATGTATGTTGATAAAATTCATTAACAATTTAATTATATTCGAGTAAAACCAATATTACGTTTTCAATGTTTCTTAATTTGACCCATCGAGATTATTTCATTATTAAAGAAAACTAAAGAGGTTTAAAAATATAAAATATTATTCGGAAACCTTTTACATTAAAAAATAATAATTCTCAGAATATCTGTTTCGATGAAGAAACTAATTATTCGCAAAAATTTATATTATAAGGATAAACTATAGCTCTTTCATTGCTGCCTAAAAATAGAGCGAACATTATTATTAACAAAGGGAAAAAAACTGCATCTGAGTGTGTTCTAATTATTTAAAATAATACAGACAATTAGAAAAACGTGATTTCGTTAAGAATTTGTAGCTTACCGTTAGCGTACATGTTAAAGATGTGCACTGAAAAGAAGACGAAAGAGCTTTGAGCCTGAACCACCGCCTCAATATCATAAAAAAAAAGAAAAAAAATTCTTTCAACGTTTCCTAGTTACAAACATAAACAGATCACGCAATAAATTTTGTACAAGAGTATTACGAGAAATGAATTTAAACATTATTGAAAAATATTTTTGGTATATTCATATTGTTATACTTCACAATACCTTCTTTATAATCATTATTCGGTCTGTTTTTCTAAATATAATAAACCATAACACTAAATATAAAATAAACCAGTTGTACAGCAAATGTTTCATTATTGACAAATCAACAAGTTTATAGAAATTAAAAAAAAATAATAATAATAATAACATATTTCTTATTCTGCAAATAAAATGAAATATTTTACTTTTATGAAAATTTTCTTTTCATAAAAGTAAAACTAAAAAAACTTAATATTAAATCATGGAATTAATGTCAAAGTTAGATGAAGTATTATAAATTTTTAATATTAGTTAAAAAACTGGAAAATCTAAAACCAAATGGAATTAGTTGTTATTTTATAGTGAATCTGTAAAATTTACAAATGTTCTCTTTCGTTTTAAGAACTTTATATTTGTAAGTTCGATAGAGAAAAATATGAATAAAATATTTCTGTTAAATATCCAGAAATTTTAAAATTAGTTTTTTTATTCTTTTGGATTAAAAAATCAACTAGTTAAATAGAAGGCTTCAGATGTTGTGAACGAAGTCATGTAATGGCTTAACTAGTTCATTTTATATTTTCTCAAAAGAGAATTCAATTGATATTTATTATACAGTAAAGTACATAAAAGTACGATAAAAATTGTTACGTATGAAACGTAATATTTACTCTAATAATTTATTTTAACATAATTTTTATTTCATTTTATTAGCATTAATATTTTTACAGCAATATTCAGGACAATATTTATTAAATAAATGTACACAGAGAAATACATACATAAATTACAGAGAATTAGCTATACATAAGCAAAAAACTTAATTTAAATTATTAAATATCATATATTAATATCATATAGTACGTAGAAATCATTCATCGTTTCATAGTTAACAAATAATTTCTGTGCCCTTTACTAAAAGCGAAGAATTTAATACATTTGTAACTTTTAAAAGTCAGTAGCTTAAACAAGATAAAGTTTTTTTTTTTTTTTAACGAGAAGACAATCGTAGAATAAAATATTAAAATTTGTGTTAAAATAAAAATGCGAATTTTTAAATTCATACAATTTTTTATCCATTTTCGAAGATAAAATAAAACAAAAAACCTTTCATTTTATTTTTTTACTAAGTTTGAAAATTTAAAATCAATTTACAAAATTAAGAAGCAAAATTCTAACATTAATTCTAAGAATTTAGAATTAGAAACATTTATTGAAAAGTTTACCATTCTAAAACTGTACGAATTTTTCATAATAAGAGAGAAATATTTAATTTTTTCTTTAAACTGTAGGTAAACAACAAATATTAAATGTATAAATTATGATTTGTTTTATATAAAATCTTCATATTTATAGTACAAATTTGTTTAGTTTATTTATAAATTATATGTATAAATTATCAAGTTTTTTAATGTAATAGTTAGGATTCTGAATTGCAAAGAAGTATGATAATTAGAATATATTCAATTAAAACTAACACATTTACAGATATTAAATATTCTTTTTTGTTTTTTAGATATTTACTTCGTTCTTACTTTATTTTTATTAAAATACAGAATAACTGTTTATTTTTCATATAAAGTATACGGTTTCTGTTTAAAAAAGCAATCTTATATTATTTTATTAATAAAAATATGAATTAAAACCAGAAATATCATTACTAAAAGAAATCGAATTCTTTGCAAACTTTTCGAAATTTTAAAAATGTCAATGCATCTAAAATTTATTTTATAAAAAGAACTTTTATACTGCTTAAGGCTATTCTGAATTTTCTTTTTAATTCTAAAAAGTTGAACGACATTATTAAAAAAAAAAAGTTTTAAATTTTTTCGTGATATTATTTTAATTTTAAAATAAAATTAACTTTTAAATAAGTGTTATTACTAATAAAAATTTATTTAATAAAACAAATATTAAATTAAATTTTTTTAAAAATTAATAAACAGAATTTTTTTTAATCCTTTAAAATGGATTTTCGTAATTACGATATTCTATTAAATTTATTCACAGTATTTTACATTTAGAACGATCTTACCGAGAAAAATTTCATCTCTATTTAACTCAATTTTCTGAGAAATTTAAAATCTAATTTGATAAAATTCTTTGGATAATACCCTGTGATAACGGAAAAGCTCTATTTCCATTTTGTTAGATTTCGACAATTTCATTCTGTTTTTCAAATTTATTTATTCAACAACTAAATGGAGAAGAATAAGAATAGAATTTATTCAGATTTTTTTCCCGAGAAAATATTTATATTAAAAATAAAATTTAGAATATTCTTAAATATATTTCTTTCTAACTTGTATACATTTATATTATTCTTTGTTTTTCAAATGTAACCTAATTTTGATTATAATTCTGTTTGTTTTCTTACAGTTTAAAAATATTAGAAATTATATATTTATACATAAGTAAATTTTTACAATTATATTAATAATAAATAAACACAGAAATTTGAATTTAATAACGATTTTTACTTGATCTATTAAGTTAACACCCTAAAATTATACATAAATTAGAAAATCCCACTGTTTAAAACATTCTTTCTGTAATTAAAAAATATATATATTAAAATTTCTTTTAAAAATTATAGACTTTATTTGAAGTTTATCGAAAAAGCTATTAATTAAGAAAATCAATTCGTACAGATATAAATGTAAATTTTGTCTAAATTAATAATCCGTTATATTTTTCTCCTAAATTATATACGCTTACACATAAACAAGGTTCTTGTTAGCATATTAAACTAAACTCAACGTATATTATAGATTATTCTTTCGTGTTTTCGAAACACGAATAGTATGACACAAAAATACCTTCCAAATACGCATTCGAATACTACATTATAACGTTAATTTTATAAATAAATCGTTTTAATTTATAACGAGTGGCCTAGATAAAAATGTTTACCATAAACATTTTTCGAAACTTTTAAATTATTAAAATTCCGCAAAATTTTTTATGTCAAAGTAACCAGTATTTACATTCCATCCGAAATTGTACAAAAGTCGTTTAAACTTTAATAAATTAAGATGTATAGCCTAAATGTTACAAAAATAAGCATCATTAGAAAGCTTTTTCAATGACGAGGTGTTTATGCAGTGTACAATTATTCTGAAATTTCGACATAATGACAATTACATACAGTATATTGTTCAAAAACCCTGTGAATGCATTTATCAGCTGCTGTTCACTGGATTGTATTTGTAACCCTAGGTATAATATTAAAAAATTATGAGATTGATACCCAGACAACTATTTTGACGTGAACAAAACGTATCGAAACAATTTTCTATGCATTTCACAAAATAAAATCCAGTGGCATTAGATCGGGAGACAAGAGGACCTCGTATTTAGTCACAATAATTCATCTCTGAGAATTCACGGAATTTACTCACACACACAAAAATTCTTATTTTAACTTTCAAATAATGCTTATTGTATCTTAAGATATTAACATTTAAAATTGTACCACTATATTTGGGACTTACATATACATTAACAAGTATAAATTCGATCGTTACATCTAAAATTAAATATTAGATGTATATGCTAATGTTCCTAAATTAAGGATAGAAACTTAAAATTTTACAAATTAAACCAACATTTTCAACAAGCAATTTACCTCCATATTTTAATACTATATTAAACTTGTCGGTACACAGAGATTCATTATTTCCTTCCTGTACTAAATCCATATAC